TATAGGGGTGCCAAGGGGGGGGGGGGCGCCGGCCCTAGTAGATGGCATCTACTAAGGGGGGCGGCGGCCTAGGGTGGGGGGCTTGCCCCCCAAGGCAAGGGGCGCCCCCTCTAGGGTTTCCCCTCAACCCTAGCCGCATGGGCCCTAGGGGGGTGGCGCCCCAGCCCACTATGGGCTGGGTTTCCTCCCACTTCAGCCCATGGGGCCCCCCGGGATAGGTGGCCCCACCCGGTGGACCCCCGGGACCCTTCCGGTGGTCCCGGTACAATACCGGTGACCCCGAAACTTGTCCCGATGGCCGAAATAGCACTTCCTATATATAATTCTTTACCTCCGGACCATTCCGAAACCTCTCGTGACGTCCGGGATCTCATCCGGGACTCCGAACAATATTCGGGTTACTGCATATTCATATCTTCACAACCCCAGCGTCACCGAACCTTAAGTGTGTAGACCCTACGGGTTCGGGAGACAAGCAGACATGACCGAGACGACTCTCCGGTCAATAACCAACAGCGAGATCTGGATACCCATGTTGGCTCCCACATGCTCCACGATGATCTCATCGGATGAACCACGGTGTCGAGGATTCAATCAACCCCGTACGCAATTCCCTTTGTCAATCGATATGTTACTTGCCCGAGATTCGATCGTCGGTATCCCAATACCTCGTTCAATCTCGTTACCGGCAAGTCACTTTACTCGTACCGTAATGCATGATCCCGTGACCAGACACTTGGTCACTTTGAGCTCATTATGATGATGCATTACCGAGTGGGCCCAGTGATACCTCTCCGTCATACGGAGTGACAAATCCCAGTCTTGATCCGTGTCAACCCAACAGACACTTTCGGAGATACCCGTAGTCTACCTTTATAGTCTCCCAGTTACGTTATGACGTTTGGTATACCCAAAGCACTCCTACGGTATCCGGGAGTTACACGATCTCATGGTCTAAGGAAAAGATACTTGACATTGTAAAACTCTAGCAAACGAACTATACGATCTTGTGCTATGTTTAGGATTGGGTCTTGTCCATCACATCATTCTCCTAATGATATGATCTCGTTATCAATGACATCTAATGTCCATAGCCAGGAAACCATGACTATCTGTTGATCAACGAGCTAGTCAACTAGAGGCTTACTAGGGACATGTTGGTGTCTGTTATTCACACATATATTACGATTTACGGATAACACAATTATAGCATGAATAAAGACAATTATCATGAACAAGGAAATATAATAATAACGCTTTTATTATTGCCTCTAGGGCATATTTCCAACACTAGAGCTCCTCCTCGGCACCCTCTGCCATAACGCCTCCTCGTCGCCGTCCCTGTTCGCCAAAGGATCCCTCGGTGCCGCGCCGGACACTGCCTGGGCCCTGATTCTCTGCCGAGGCGACGTCAGCGCCAGGATGTGCTACGAGTGCATCACCTGGGCTGGTCACGAGGCGGCCACAGCCTGCAACCGCAGCAGGGACGTGGCCCTCTGCTACGACCAGTGCTATGTCCGCCTAGCCGACCACAACTTCTTGGACCCCAACGGCAACTCCGGCGTGGTATTGTCCGTGAGCGCTCTAGGTATCACCAACGGGGACGTCGTCGGCTATGACTGGGCCGTCACCGACCTGTTCAGCTCCACGGTGGAATATGCGGTGGACAACTCCTCCAGGATGTTCGCCATGGGGTATTCGGCAGGGACCGAGCCGGGGTTCCACGCGATCTACAAGGCGGCGCAGTGCGCGGCGGACCTGTCGCGGCCGCAGTGCCGAAACTGCCTACAAGGCCTCATGGGCATGTGGCGGACCACGTTCCTGCGGAACACGCGGGGCGCGAGGCTGGCTGGTCCGAGCTGCACCTTGAGGTCCGAACTATTCCAGTTCTTCAATGACAGAGATTCCAGGTTCCCGTCCAACACCGGATCCTCCGGGCCCGTGGCCGTGGGACCAGCAGCTGGTACGAGAGGTCAGTTGATTTGAATTTCCTTGTAAAAAGATTCCACTTATCTTTTTATGTTTATTAGGTACCACAGGCAAATAATGGAGGTCTTTCATTTCGTAAAATAGGTTATTTACAATTTCTCCCTCTTGCCTTCCGCGTGTTGGACACATGATTTCTTCTCAACACCACCATCAACGGCTGCTAATATGAGTTGTCAAAAGCCCGCGCATACCCCAATTTCCATGTCCAACAACCATAGTAGCCATTTCATGATAACTAATTCCATTCAAAACCATGCGACGGCATGATATACATACAACTACTACTACAACTACACAACTGAGAGTCCTCGCCGGGCATGCTGAGGAAGTTGGTGCCAAACCTGTATTTTTTTTTTGCCAAACCTGTATTCGATCAAAAGAAAGTCACATATGTAGTCCATGTTCTATGTTCTTCATATCTTGGAATTTATTTATTTTTTCCATACATATTTCATTCGCAAAATATCGAAGATCCATAAACTACGCCTATCTCTTTCTTTTGAAAAAAAAAACAACCAATGTACTCCATCTGTTCCTAAATATAAGACGTTTAGGCAGCTCAATTTGAGCGGAGGGAGTAGTATTATTGGACAATTGAGGTTTTACTCATAAATGTTATGTCATATTCTAGGTACCAGGAGGGCCGTCACAAAGATTATGATAATAGGTATGCTAAAACTTTCACCATCTTTTCACAAACAAAGGATTTAAATACCAGTAGTCCACTAATAGTGTTTTTCTATGGTGAAATAGTAAATTGAAAATTTATCATGCCTATAATCATTAAAACTTGATTCTAAATTTAAAGTTAAGACAAACAGCTCTCAGTTTGTGCATAAGGGCATCTCCAAAGAAGACCCTCAAACCTCCGGTATATGTCGAGATTATAATGTCTGGGCAACTTTTGCATCCAATGGGGACCCCTTGTTCCGCGGAGCGGTCTAGACGTCTGTTTTCTCGTAAAC